AAATCGTCTATAAGCTTTAGAAAATATAATCTTAGCTAGTTAATAAGCTTAATATTATTATATATATCTTTCGTTTAAAGATTAAAGAGCTTCTTAATAATATTAAAAAAGGAGCTTTTAGAAAACACTATACTTATATATATGCTATTAAATATTAAAAGCGTAGTTTACTTTATCTTTATTTTCTTCTTTAGCTCGAGGGTATAAGTAATTATCTAAAACTAACTAGAGTCGATAAGATTATATCTGCGGAAATTCCGAATAAAGCTATAGACCCTATAAGTAAGTTATAAGAGTTAGTATTAAATAATATAACTTATAAGTATTATAGTCCTAACTTTCCGAATACTCTCTATATAGCTCGTAAGCACGCTAGCGATCTATTATAGTATTAGAAACGCTTTCCGAAGGAGTTTTAGCTAACTATAGTTATTATAGAAGATAGTTACCCTTAATATCATTATTAGTAAGATAACCGAACGTTTATAATTCGTAAAGATAACTAAGAAGTTACTTTAGATAATAGATAAGTAGTTCCGTATAATCCGTATCTTCTTAATCGCTATCGATCGTATATTAATATCGAAGTTTACGGATTAGTATAAGCTATTAAATATATCTATAAGTATATATATAAAAGTATAAACCGAACGAATCTTACGATCTTAAATACAGATAACGAGATTACCTATTATATATAAGCGTAATATATAAGTCCCCCGGAAGCTTTATAGCGACTCTTCGAATATCTTACTTATAAGGAATTTCCGCTTATATAATATCTTATAGTCTATTTATAAAGAGATTAAACTATATATTTCAAGCTTAGTTTATCTGCAGAAGAGATAGCTATAAAGCGAGATATAGCTTATTCTACTCTTATAAGCTTCTTCGAATTTAATACTATAAACCCTACTATCGAGCTATAGCTATATTCGGAGTTTCTAGCTTATTACGTCTAGGATTAATCGACTTGTAAATAGTATTTATAAAAGAGAGAAAGTTATTATATTAATCGTATATATTATTATAGTCTTATTTCAGGGGAATATTTCTACTTATAGCTACTTCTAACGATTATTCGTAGACCGAAATCGTTTAATAAGCTATATAATTTTAAAGAGGTTACATACGAGATATATAAAGCTACTTATATTTCATATAGTTTAGCTAAAAACAATTAAGAGTAGTTTTAGTACTTTAATAAAACGAAACTATTTACTTTAGTAGATAGTTTATAAACGCTTTTTTTAACTAGATTTCGTTAATAAGAGATTACGGACTTATTAGCTATCTAAGAGCGATATAAGGAATACTTCTGCGACGATCTCGCTTATTAATTATATTAAAAACCCGGCTTTCCTCTTCCTCTTTTGAACTCGTATTATGATTATAGATTATAGCTCTTAGCCGAGAGCCTTACGGATTAGTAATAGTTACTTTCAAGCATTAGCCTACTTTCTTATAAGTAGGACTAAGCTTATTATTATATCTCCTAATAGATAATAGATAATCGAATCGAAGATTTCACTACTTTAGCGCAAATGATAAAAGCGAACCTTAATAGCGATTAGCTTATAGCTTTTACGAATATTGTAACTACGATTATTACCGAACTAGAAATAGCGCACTTTTATATCTAAAGCTAAAGTAAGTCTAGTAAAACATATCTATATAAGACCCTCTACTATTATTACTATAGTAAAGAAAAGTTAGTCCTTTATATCGCTTCTATAAGTATTATAGCCTTATTATTACCGAACAAGCGAATATTATACTTGTAATTCAAGATTCCGATCGATCTTATAGAATAATCTGTAAGTAGTATTACGAAATAGAGCGCGCTTAGCAGTCTCTTATATCGAGTCGATCTAATTATCTAGAATAAGATACTAATATAATATAAGTATTATTTTAAGGTAGTTTACTACTTATTAGTCGATATATAGAGCTCTATAGATAATATTCTCTTTAGTAGTATACTTATAATACTTAGTAGAGACTTTACGCAGATACTTCTAGTTATACTATAGGGTTCGCAAGCTAATATTATAACTACTTATATTCAAAAGTTATTTATTTAGCCTCGATTACGTCAGATTATCTTACGGATTAATATACGAGTCCGAGAAGGGATTTATAGTCCGGAATTCGTAGATTAAGTTAGTACTCTACTTTACGATCCGCGTTAAGAGCTTTTAGTTATAGTTCTAGACTATATTTATTAACTTATTAGCGTTTCTAGTTTTATCGACTCTATTTACTCGCTAGATCTTCTTAGAGAAGCTACTATAGATATAACTACTTTTATAGGTCGCTATCTTTTATTAACTCTAAATATAATTATTATAAAGCTAAATAGAATAATTCTTAGTCGCTTTCTAAGCTAGTTATATACTTACTTAGATATAGATATATATATAATAGATATAGATATCGCTAAAATAGACTTTTATTAGTTTTTAGCTAAGACTCTTTAAAAAATCGATCTTCTATCCCTACTACTATTATACTTATACCTTAAGCTCGGTTCGCTTATTCTTTTTTTATATAATCTTACGCTACCGGAAAGCTTTTATAATAGAATACGATTAGTAGTTATAAGCTTAAGAAAGTATTATATCGAGGCTCGGATTCTAAGTAGAGACCTCGACAGATAGTTAAGAGTACTCCCGCGGATTAAACTAACTAGAATAGATAATAAGCTTAGAATTACTCTTTAACGAAAGTAATTTCTAATCCGTTTATACTTCGCTATAACTATTGATAAGTCTTAAGGATAGTTATTTCATATAGTAAAGCTAGACTTATAGACGCTTATATTTACTTATAGTTAGCTATATATTAGTCTATTATAGATATCTAAAGTTAAAGGATTAAGTGTACTATTACTTATAGAAAATCGACTTCAGACTACGAATATTATATTTCTAAAGGTATTACTTAATATTCGTTAATATTAGTTCAGTTAAGTATATTTATAAGTCTATAGATATATTATATAAGTCTATTAATTATGAAAAGTTTAATAAAATCTAAAGAAGTTTAAAGATAAAGTAGAACATAGTTTCTATTTAATATTAACTCTCGTAAGAGACTTATAATAGGATTTTTAGCCCTGAAATTTAACTCATACTCCTATAGGGGACTTTTAATAGGATTTATAGCTTAGTTAAGCTCTTACTCTCCTTATCCTTATGCTCCTTCTCCTCCTCTAAATCGGCCTCTATATAGAAATTATCTATAAGTAATTTATAAAGAATCGCCCGGGCCTCTAAAAGCTAGTAGTAAGTATAGTAAAGGCGACGAATATAGCTAGTAGTAGTAGGGAAGGGATAGTAAGCTACTATAGATTAGTTATAAGCTATAAAGTAGTTAGATTTATAACTTATTATTATTATAAGTACTAAAAGTAACTTAAGTATTTCTATAACTATAAGTACGACCTGAGGAAAAGCTAGTAGTAGCAGGGGAGGGAACGATAGAGGTAGCAGGAGTAGTAGGGGCAGTAAAGCTTATAGATCCGAAAATATTAGTAAAAGTTATAATTCAGTTTATAATATAACTTATAAAGCGAGTAATAGCCTCTTATACTACTATAGTAGCAGTTGGTATAAGAGCTACTTAAAAAACCCGCGACCCGAATGCACTCTATCTAAGGGCTATAGTCTCCTTAGTAGTAGTTATAACCCGGAAGCTCTATACGTTTAGCTATATCCGTTAATATCTTCATATCCGAAATAGTTTATTATAAAGTATAATTAGTTAGGGAATAATATAGAATAACTTATAGATCTAGATGTATTAAGCCTCTAAGTTAGAGGACCAAGTAGTACTAGAGAAGACTCGACCCGGACGCAAATTAGTAGCGCGAAAGGAGGAGAGAGCGAAGAGCCGCGTTATAGCAGTAGTAGCGCGAGCGGGCAAGGCCGGCCTTACGGATCTATTAGCTAAGTTACGGACTATTAGATAGCTAGAGCTAACTTATATAGTAAGAGTTAGTAAAGGGGCCGTAAGGCCGGCGGCATAAGATTAGGCTACTAAGGCAGCGGCAGTAGAAGTAGTAGCGGCAGCAGTAGTAGTAGATATCCTACGGTCCGTTAGTAATTGCTATAGGGCTATAGATCGCCAGAATCAATATAGTAAATACGTACTTAATAATTATAGTATCGCTAAAAAGAAGGTTTATAATTATTACCATAGGAGAGACGTACTTATAATCTATTACCTTTAGCCTATTTCAAATTCAATTACTATTATTATCTATTAGAATTTATCTTTAATAGTAAGTCTTTATTTACGTAGTTATTATTATCTATCGTAAGCGACTATTACACATTAACTATTACCCGTAACGACTACGCGAAGCAAGGTCCCGTGACCCCGGAGCTTGCGAAGGGCCGGCACGGAGAAGATCTTGTGTTATCATGCTTGCGGATGAAAGACATTGATTCTTTAGATTATACCTTGGAACGTATATCGATTAATGAATTTGCACTGTGTGTATTTTAGACTTAACTTTAAAGATGCTGACGCAAGCTTCAAGTCCTTATTCCTCGCTTCGTGTACGAGAAAGCCGATATCTGTCAACAGCAATTAGCTAGATATAGTAACAAATGATTACAGGAGAGCAATGTCCTAAGTTTCAAGACATTATTCAGCAGTAATAATTTTTGAATTTCTTATCCGCTAAGTATTTGACTTTTACAGTTCTGCTGCTTCAAGTGGTCCCCCGCGTAATTATTCACTAGTACAACCATCTTCCTCTTCTCACAGTGCCTGCAATATGTTCCGTCTGATACTAAATTGTCTGTGTACAGTAATAGACTTGTAATCCAACTTACAAGACCTACATTTATGTGTGCAACACCACACCCTAGCATTCCATCAACCCCACATCAACCCCACCACTGCCCACAACACCCAATTTCTTGAAACGCGAACAAACGGGTTTGACGATGTTTAATAACAGGAGAGGTCAGCATCAGTAGATAATAAAATCTTCTGTGGCGCAATTGGCTAGCGCGTATGTGGTTTAAACAATCCCACATTGTCCGTCTATGCTTCTAATTATCGTGCAGGTTCGACTGTTATACATCTCTTCATCAGATCTTGCAATCGAGAGGTTGGAGGTTCGAGCCCTCCCAGAAGAGCTTTGCCATGAGCCTTATCCATGTCGGCTTTACTTTTATTTTTACTTTTATTATCTACTATGGTTCAGGATTAAATGTATTTTCCTTACGCTCCGGAAGCAATTCATAGTCGCCCGCCGTAAGGGCTGCACTAGCTCAACCGCCCATATGACACACTATATCTTTTGCTCAGATACCCACACCTTCAAGAGAATTGAACTCTCAGAAGTCAATATTTGTACAAATGCAAAGCTGATAATGGAAGTTCTACTTACGTGCCAATGATTTGATATCGGGACGACGTTAATCGGAAACATCCATTTTTTCCGTCATCGAGTATTACAATAACCTGTAAGCATTTGACATATTGTCTCTCTATTCAATCCTTCGAAATGATGGCAAATATTCGAAGTAAGGTTATTCACCGATGTGGTCTTTCCAGACGGTATCCAGGTCGGGATATCTCGACCATGAAAACCACTCTCTCCCGATACCCTAACGCTTTCAAGAAGAGGAAAAGATAAGCTGGATGAACTGAAGCAACTTGAGATGTTGATAGATGGTTCTATGGCCCTCAGGTTTGTGGCTCCTTAAAGCAGGGGCTTCTACGATACCTAAAAGTTCCACCCGGGCTAAAGACGCCCATTGGCAATTACGGAATGTGGTGAGAAAATTTGAGTACTTCATCATACAAAGACTTTCCATCCCATGAAACATTAGTTCAATTGTGGAGTGGATCTACGGGACATAAAGTAGATTAGTCCAGTATATGTTTACTTCACAAGCGAGATGGCAATAATTTCTCACCGGAGCAGACCACCGAAAGATGTGCCGGCAGGTGCAGATTTTCAAGTTCACGAGCCTGTTACATACGCATAGTGTGTTCATGGATCAATTCAGCAAGCTTTACATATACTGAAGTATTTTCTTTCTCTGCTAGCAATCGTTACAAAAACCAGGGCCTTCCTCCACACACGTCCTCCACGAGAAAGCGCTTTGTCACAGTGAATTGTTGACTCCGCCAAACATAGAATTCATATGCATAGATTCTCTATTTACAGAAAGACCGTAATGCCATATTCCGCATCATCTGAATGAAATCACTTTGATCTCTAAGCTGTAGCAGACTGTCGGTGTTGGTTTCTAGAACTAACGAGGATATATGAGTTGGGACAACTTACCTATGTACTGCTAATACTGCTTGCCAGGGCAAATGTGCTCATCTATCTCAGCCTCCCAATGTTGACGACTGGCGAAACCTTTCAACACACTAACACCACGGATATAGTGGACGGTCTGGAAAGAATAAGTGCAGGCTATATTGACTGTTTTGAGGCACACGTACGTTTATTTTTTGCTTATGTGGCCGATTTGTTTTTGACAACCTTATCAACATCAGCTTTCTCGGCAGCCACCTTGACAACAGAGGCTTTCAGAGCAAGATTTGACTCTGTATTATTGCGACACCTTCGCCGTGTCAAGAATGAATTAAAGACATCCGATCCTACCAGCAGAATATATGTCAGGCATGACGATAGCCTATGCCGAAAAAACTAAAAACATGCTAGGGAATGTGTTCATTGAGTAATTTTAGTGTATATACAGTGCTACCTCTCGAGTTAAGATTTAGTTCCATCAAAAAATACCACTTCAACCAGAACTCGCAACAAGTATCTCCCTTTATAAGGAGTTTATTGTCTTTGAATCTGCGTAGAAGGTCTCGTAATTGTTCGATTGATTGTAGAACACACTAGTGTATACTACCTGCAATAGTAGTTGAATTTAGCCGAAGTGGAATAGGAACATAACTTCTCTTTATGTTTCTATTACCGAATCTACAAGTGACACCTATCTCAAGACAGAGAACCAACCAGGTCTGACCGTCAGCACACCGGTGACGTTCTGTCTAGGATCACCCGATAGAGGTCTACAGCGTGAAAATAATCCTCAGACTCTATATAACGTCTCCTCCCACAAATGGATCCCCTTTGCATCGTACGTTACTATATATCAACGATGTGAGAGCTGGACCTCTTCCGCAAACGATCTACTTTACTCTTTACCGCTATTTCTGGTTGAGTTAGTACATATTGAGTGGACCGACTCTCAAGGTGTAGGAGGAGAAACCCTAAATGTACTCTAAGAGTACGCTAGGTCGGTAAGTTCGGATAGGCATGAGATCGTATACAAACATTTTCCCTGAAAATTGTCTTTCTCGCTACAATGATAAAGCCTCGAAGCTAGCCGTTAGATCTAACCGATGTGGAAAGACCGATCACATCTGTAAGCTGTAATATCTGACTTTTCCAAGGCCTAAGCCTACAGATTGCGTTGACGGGCGAATCTGTCTATGTCTACTCCCCAGGACGCGCTATACCGCAGCCTATTGGAATTTCCGCTTCCAGGTTTGCTTCCAAGGTCAAATTTTCCATACCCATCACACTTTTATGGAATAAATATTACTAGTCAAATGGAACTTTAGATATGAGCAGGCTTAGCAGTGACGAGTACCAAACCACTTCCGGTAAGATAATCGAAGACATCTTCCCAGCCTAGTCGATCAAAATTCACGTACAGGTTCCACCTCATTTCATCATCCGCCCTTTCACAACTCTCTTCAAGTCCAGCAAGCAAGCGCTTCAACTTCTCCTGTTCCTCACTCTCAAACAAATCAAGATCAATAACATGTCCAAACAAAACCCTACCTCTCTCCTCTGGCTGCCGCAAGGTGATCTCCTTCAAGAACTTGCCGTGGCCGCGGTCGTCTAGGTGAAACCAATGCACGATCTGGCGGATAATGTAGACGTACACTTGCACGAGGAATAGTGCCTTATCGATAAATCTGATGTATTCCGAGGGTAGCGGCGGGAGCTGTGAGCTAGAAGTAGTAAATCATTTCCTATCCAAGTGTTATGTGGTTTTCGCGACATTACTGTTATCATCAAATAAAGTCCTGAAATACTTTCGTGACTTTAAAGTCTTCTATAGCGGGCAGTCCAGTCGCCCTTAATCAGCTACCCGCTTCTGGTATCGATAGTAGTACCAGGCTCGGATTCGCGCTTGTGCGTGTGTGTGCCAATGCAAGTTGACGGTAGCCAGTGACCAAAAGCCTCTAGAACACTTTTCCAATATTTACTACCGCAAACGAATCACAGGACTAGAAGCTATCTACGTTATCAATCTCCATTGCTGAAATCTTTCTACTCTACGGCCGACTACTGAATCTGTATATCAAATCCATCTCCGTCTCCAGCGAACGGCAGAACGACCAGACCCTATTAAAGTCGCAACTCAAGTCGATGACAAAGTCACGAAAAACATCTCAGGACATTGCCTAAGCTCGTATGTGAAATCTTAACAGACTTTCCGATGACATCAAAACTGAAAGAAAAGGAAAAAAAAACTCTTTGTGAAGATCTAGACTGCTCCGCTTCAGACGAAATTGTCTGGTGTCGAGTATCAACTACATATAGGCTCACGACGGTAGCTTCGCTAGGTAACCACGGCCTTGATATCCCTGACATCTTCTACACACCTACCTGCCTACACATTACAGACATCTCTAAATGTTTGAAGAGGTGTCAATGCTCCGGTCGACGGTTGCGTGGCTTATAATACAAAGGACACTTGAGAATAGTTCCTAATCAGAGTCCTTTGGACGAGTAAGCAACTTCCTTTAATAGGTGAACAGATAGAGACCCCTCGATCTAGTGAAGAGGAAGAGTTCAGAGCTATCTTATTTAAGAAACAATATATGGGAAATGTAGAATTTACTCCGAGACGAAATTCGGCAGGTAGATTTGTGGGCTCTTCAAATCAGATATGAAAGAGTGTTATATTCGGGCTGTACGATTTTGACATGTAACTCTGTGTGATATCATCCTACTGTAATCGGAAAGAACTTGCTAAGCCTGGTACCAGAACATCATCTTAGATCTTGATATCTTAATTGAGTGTAGTCTAAACAACTTGTGATATTCTTCGAATTAATTGAATATAATCTCATCTGTCGCTAATCCAGGCAGGAAACATCTCACAGCCCAGCAGATCACTTCTCCCACACCCTCTGCGTCTCCAACTCCACATCTCCATACCCCATCTCTCTACCCGCATAAAACCTACCCTTCCGCTCCATCTTCTTCTCCGTGACCCATTTTCTCAGCGTGGTCAATCCCTTCACAACAGCGAAAATGATAATAATCGCAATGGCAATGCCAAAACAATAGCCTACCACCGCGCCTTTACCTACACCTCCTACATTCTTCTCTTTTCCATCTTCGCCGATGATTTTGTTGACCGGATTTGGGTTGAGGAAGTTGTAGACGTAGTACCCTTTTGTGGCATGCGTGACATACGCGAGGCCTAGGTAGCAGCCGAGGATGAGGATGAGGTAAATGAGATGGATCCAAGGCGCGGGATTTATCCTCGTGAACACGATCTCGAATATTGCGAAAGCGGAGTTCAGGCCGTGTTGGGAGACGTTGCTCCAGAGCGCGAAAGGCGTTTTGAATGGGCCGATCAAGGAGTAGAGAATTCCCCAGTAGACGATGGTGACGAGGAACGGGAAGGTGGTTATTGTTGAGTAGAAGAGGTAGTGGAGAGCTTGGAGAGGGCGGGGGAGCCGGTTTAGGAGGGGGGTTCCGCCATGGAGGGCGTAGGTGAATGTGTGGAGGGCGGAGATGAGGAAGTAGAAACATATGCCCCAGTAGCAGAGGACTGGTAATGCGTTAGCTTAAAGTGTAAGGGTGATGCCGAGAGAGGACGTACTGGTGAAGAACGAAAATGAATTCCTGACATCCTTTGCGGAAAGACCGTTATGATCAGTCATCTCCCAGCCGATGATGAAGAATGTGACGACAAATGCATAGAGCGACTGTTTTAACCTGTTAGCTATATTCTCAATTTCTGGCGTGCATGCGCCTTGGGATGAGCGGAACGTACAATGGTAGCTCGGATCGCGAATAATACCCATGGTGGTAGTAACCATGATGTTTCGAATCGATGACTTGGATCCCATAAAT